ATTCTTGGATTTTTGAACACTTCTGTTTGTTTCTAGCCTCCAGGGATCCCCTGTTCATTAAACATTTTTTTTGCCAAAATCTAAACATTCCTTAACATGTTGACATCTAAAGGTGGCCAAATCACATAGTAACAAAAGGGAGGGCAAGTACTTTAAATTCATTTCTTGCAGCAATACTTAAAGAAGAAGGAGCATATGGGAGAATGAGCCCATGCAGTAAGTTCATTTGGTTCTGAATAACAAATTTCTGTTCTGACCATCCAGGATTTCAATGGCAAACCATTTAAACTATTGATATATTTGCCCCCATGTTGGAAAAAAAAAGGCATTGCTTTGCAGGATGCTGTAATAACATCCAAGTAGCGGAAAAGAAACTTTCAGCCGTTTGTTAAAATAAATTAAGATAAATGTGAGGACTGTCTAATGTTCAAAGTTGACAGCTTCTTTCTTTTCAGGATAATAAAGAAAGGAATTGCCCTTGGTGGATAAAAGCTTGGCATAGGTTTCCAGAGCATTTAGCTATTTGGCACATTGTCTTAGCTTAGAGAGGCATAACAATGTTAAAAAAAAATAGCAATTGTTATGTGAGGACAAGAATCTAGGAAATAGGGTGCAAAAATGACATCTACTTTATTGTCTTCCAATTGGATTTCTAACATTAGACATGATGGCCCTTTTTGAGATTGCTCTTACTCCAATCATTCCTCTTTACTGCCATGCTGTTAACAGCAATTTATGTGTTCGAATCATTTGACTCTATCTAATTCATTATACAATATCCCTTAAGTGACACACAAAACTGGCATCTCATCTGTCAGCTTCAAGGTTCATTTTCCACACAATCCAGTGGACCAATGGCAATATATCATTTGATATAGAGAGAGTGCCATATACAGATCTTCAGTGTTACTGAAATAGATGTAGTAAAAAAAAAATTGCATGTTATTTGCTTTGGTTCATGGGACAAAGGTATCCTTAGGGCAGCTCATGAGACTAATCAATAAAACAAATCAAACTAACCCTAAAGTTAAGATGGAGGGTTCTACCTTAATGCCAGTTCCATTTCCTTTGTCATTCTTTTGTGTTTAGTCACATTCTTAGGCCCATCATAGCTTGAGGATTCCACTGACTCCCCCTCTTCCTTTTTAATTGGTTAAATGGCTCAAATTGGCTCAAAAAATCAGCCCCTATGGTCGTGGGAGCATGACACCATCACTAAAATGTGATTAAAGTAAGCAGGAAGCAACTAGCCCAAAGGAATGGACATATGCTGCTCCTTTGAGGTGATACACTTTGAGGTGATACACTTTGTTACTGTTGCTAAGGTGGCGCAGTGGTTAAATGCAGCACTGCAGGCTACTTCAGCTGACTGCAGTTCAGCAGTTCGGCTGTTCAAATCTCAC